TTCTAATTAAATTGAAGCTAAAACCTTTCTTTTTAGAACTAATGGATAAATACTAGTTAGAAAAGAGGCATGGAAATTATTTATATACAATTAATCCAGCAAGATTATTATATGCCTCTTTACTGGGAAACAAAATTAGTTATTTCCTAATTAAAGAATGGCACTCAATTAGCCATATACTGAAACAGAAAGAAGAGGTTGGTGTTAGCTACATACATTTGTACCGCATTTTATTTTAAGTATCAATATGCTGTTCTTGGTAAATATGATTAACTTTCAATTTAAATGTCCAGTTAGGGCAGTTTAGCTATAATTATTTCTGCCTACTGCTTTGCTATCTAGATAAATTTCATGCAGTGTTTCCCCCCCACCCCAAATATACTACTGGTTTCACCTATTTCATTGAATGAAGTTCCTGAAAATGTGCCAGCTAAATGTCATGTCACTCACTGTATCTTATTAAAAGATCTGACCTTTGTGGTATAAAATATAGAACTATCCATTTGTGGAACACAAATGGATGTGTCCCTGTTTGATTCAGATTTCATTACTGATTGTGTGTTTGTGAAAGTCTTTCTGGTCTGCTTCATTCATATTCAAAGAGCTTGTTTATTTTTGCTTAGTAGTAGTATAGGATAATTTTGGCTACAAACAGTTTTAAAACCCTGGTTTTTCATGCTGTGTAAATCCAACCACTCTGTTCAGTGATCTTACCATGTAAAAGGAAATGATCACTATATTTCAATGTTTCTATGATAGGGCAAGAGAAGATGGCTCTCTAAAGTAAGTCATGGTTTTCTCGCTATGAGGTATTGAATAAGGCATACTGTAATTACTTAAGCCAGAGATCTTCAAACTTGGCAGCTTTAAGACTTGTGGACTTCAACTCCCTTCTGGGAGTTGAAGTCCACAAGTCTTAAAGCTGCCAAGTTTGAAGACCTCTGGCCTAGGCTCACACAGTATCTTAAGCAGAGGTGGGTTTCAGCAGGTTCTGACCAGTTCTGGAGAACCAGTAGCAGAAATTTTGAGTAGTTCGGAAAACTGGTAGTAAAAATTCTGACTGGCCCTGCTCCCATCTATTCTCTGCCTCCCAAGTCCCAGCTGATCGGGAGGAAATGGGGATTTTGCAGTAACCTTTTCCTGGAGTGGAATGGGAATGGAGATTTTACAGTATCCTTCCCCTGCCACTCCCACCAAGCCACACCCACAGAACGGATAGTAAAAAAATTTGAAACCCACCACTGATCTTAAACCTTGGTTTAGACTTAGAAACTATACAGTAATGATTGGATCCCTATGACACATTTAAGTATTTTTAAATAATGGCTTTTAATTTGTATAAAGCAAATTTCCTTCATCATTTTGAATAAGCAGTTAATTTTACTTTGACTCATGACCTATTTAATCTTAGCTCTTAAATCCTAGTACTTAAAATTCCACTGTCATCTGGAGATGTTTGAAATACACAGAATATTGGAGCTGAGTGCATTTGCTGTCATTGTTAAATCTAAATATGATCTGCAATGGCATACTATGAATTATCTGAATCAGGGGCCCAGGGACATTTCTGGCCAGGCTGGTCTACAACATCTTATAAATTGATTTCAGAAGCATTTAAGGCATTTTTTCATACAAGTCATGAGTTAACATTTACAAATACTACGTTTCATAAAACATTAACGATGGTTAAAGCATTAGTAAGTTAGGACACAGGACTTAAATCTAGGTATTGATGTATCTGTTCATTTGAGGTTGACCCACCTTTAAAAAAAGGTTTCTAAATTGAAAAAGTAACACATTTGTCACGAAAATGTCAACTGCCAATTCCTTATTGGTCAGATATAAATGCTAAAAGTGAGCCAGTTCTTGGAAGAAAAATTGGGACTCTCTCAGTTTATGAAAATCATTAAGTATATCTTGGTTGAACTCTTTTGAGAAAAGGTGATGAACTGTTTCTAGAAGGATATTTATGTACTGTAAGCGATATTAAAAATTGGCTTAATGAAATTTGTCACTTCTTAGCCCCTCTTTTGAAGGAGAGAAAATTGAAGTGTGACTCGTTATGGTTCAAAGATGTAGTGATTTGAATTTAAAATTAATAGTATCAAGTTGCAGAATAGTAATATAATAGTAATATAATTTGTATATTTGAATAATTTGGTATTTTAATTAATAGGATTTTAAATGTTATTTTCCTTTTTTTGACTTTTTCTTTCATCTGTTTTTTTGTTTTTGTTTTGTTTAGAATAATAATTTGTTTGCTTGGTTTAGGCTTTTACATTTTTTAAAGTTACTTTACGTTTTGTTTTTAAACATAATCTATTATCTAATAATTATGAGAGACGGTGTGGTATAACAGTTAAGGTGCTGCACTAGGAATGGGAAGGACTTATGTTCTAGTTCTTCCTTAGGCATGGAAGCTGGTTGGATGACTTTGGACCAGTCTTTCTCTCACAGCCCTACATTGGGAAATCAAAAAAACATCTGTCTCCCAACCTATATTGAACCAGTGTGGTAGATTATGACCTCATAATTTTCAGTGAAGAAGCTTTCCTCTTACAGTGTATTCAGTTTGATTATAATATGAATGTGTATATGTGCACACACATTCATCATACATTACTATTAATATGTAACACATTTTAAGAAAAATTAATTGTAATTTTTAAAAATTAAATTAAAACAAAAATACCAGTTAGGCTTAGATTTTTATGCCCAAGCTTGTCCCTATTTGTCTAAGCAATAACAGCACCAAACCAATCTTGGATGATCTGCAGATAACAGCTGGTTAATATTCAGATGGGAACCCATTCAAGGTTATAAACTAGACTGGGAAATCAACTCCTCCTACTTCCAATTTTGGAAGAATATTAAACTACATCTGTATTGTTGTCAAGAAATAGGGTTACAGAATATTCTTCTGCCCTTTTTTGACATTAAAAGAATAAATCTTATTTCAATCTTCAGAAAAACCCATGAGACTTCAAAGCCGCAATCTATCTTCATTGCTAATCCAGGTCCCTTTCTAAAAGGTAGTAAAAGTACAACAAAACAGATTCTGTGGTCTAAATTTCCCCTGAAACTGCTTAACCGCAGAGAGGATTTTATACAGGCATCAGTCTTTTCTATTCCAGTTCTCTCTTTTTTTGGACATTCTGAAATGGGAACTATCAAAGTTTGACGCATAAATGCATTCTTCCCAAAGAATGGGCTGCTTTATTTCTCTTCCTCCCATTAATGCAATTATTTTTAGAACTGCAAAACAAAGTTTCTGTTACAATTTATATATTTATGCTCTACTCCATTAATCAATCATTTCCAACTGTCCAAATACGTTGGATGACAGCTCTTAGAATTCCAAATACAGGTAGTCCTTGACCTATGACCACAATTGAGCCCAACATTTCTGTTGCCGAGACAATTTTTAGTGAGTTTTTGCCCCATTTTACGACCTTTCTTGCCACAATTAAGTGAATCACTGCAGTTGTTAAGTTAGTTACACAGTTGTTATGTGAATCTGGCTTCCCCATTGATTTTGCTTGGCAGAAGTTTGCAAAAGGTGATTACATGACCCTGGGACACTGCAACCGTTGCCAAGCTTCTGAATTTTGATCACGTGACCATAAGGATGATGCAAAGGTCATAAGTATTAAAAAACGGTGATAAATCACTTTTTTCAATGCCGTAGTAACTAAACTGTTGGAAGTCAAGGACTACCTGCATTTGATCCATTATCTCTTGCAATTTGGGGAAGACTGATATGCAATAGCAGAATAATCTAGGAATCTACTTTATATCATTGATCTGCTTTAGTATTGTCTCCAGTGATTGACAGCAATTTGCCAGTCTTGAACAGAGAAGGTATTTCTTAACCTTAAGGGGATATGCTAGATAAGCCAGGGATGTATTTGCAGATTTTTAGGAGTTTTTCAATTTACCTCCACTCTTTCCTTCACCTTCCAATAAAGCATTTCCATTTGCACGAGTAAAAAATGTCCTTGGGCCAAACTTGACTCCTGATTAACAGCACCCATGCAGTTTGTTTTAGCTGTTAGGTGTTTCACCTGTTTAGGTGTTTTAGCTTCCCAGTACTTGGCTACAGTGGTGGGTTGCTCTTGGTTTGGTCCAGTTCCTGTGAACTGGTAGTAATGGCGGCAGGAGGCTCCGCCCACCCACCCAGACATCATCATAGATGATCTGCGCATGCGCAGAAGCTTCTGTGCATGCGCAGAAGTGCGTGCACATAAGCGATGCACATATGTGCGTGTGTGTGAGCAACGTGCGCATGTACACATGCTCCCGTTGCAAACTGGTAGTAAAGGTAAGTGGAACCCACCCGTGCTTGGCTAGTATTATAAGCCCTTGAGTAGGTTTGTCTGCTCCTCAGCATCCCCCTAAATGACAGATGCAACTGAATAGTGAATATTATTCCAAAATGGTGAAAGGGAGAGATAAATTCAAAAGGAGACAAAAGGGACAACTCACCGAGATATCACCTTTTGCTGGTTTGAATGCAAGCAACAGAATGATATTACTATAATTGTATAATTATTATGTCTTCTGGTTCAAACTTAATTATCAGTTTTTAAAATAATGTGTCTCTTTTAAGGTGTTCTATTTTGGGAGGGGGGGACTTTCAACCAGCAATATTTATGAATTTTATCTGCCTGTACTGATTTGCCAGCTTTATTTTAAATACTACCATCAACTGCTTATGTCAACTTCTCTTACTTGCAATGAACTCCTAAAAGCAATAAATGAAAAAAAAGGAACTTTGTGAGTGAAAACCACAAGTTCAAGGTGATAAAATATGAAAATAGGGACAAGAAACTACCACATGAACATAAAGGCTATGTTCAATTAGAAATCACATTAAAAAAAAGATAGTCCTTTGATTAGACTCAATGGAGCTACATTGCTTTTCACCAGGTCTATCTACTAGGGCTGTATATAAAACGTGTCTTAATGGACAAAAGAAAACACAACAATGGGAACCTCTGTGCATTCAAGTCTGCACATACAGGACAGATACTTCATTTAATTTAGATAAAAATAGAGGAAGAAAGGAAAACCCTTTTTGTTCTTGATGTTACTCAATTGTTAGGAATTGGGGAATTTTTGATGAGCATGTTCCAATACTTCTTATCATATTACAAGGTAGTTCAAGACAGTTATACAGCTGATTCAAGTCCCAAGAAACAATAGGCATGCTCTTTTAGAGGCAATTACTGCCAAAGGAGACCTCTTTCTGTTATTACTTTTTAAAAAAGACTATTAATTGACAGTATTAAGCAGCAAGCGGAAAACTAGTTATTTAACAGCCATGCATGTTGTTTCTCAACATTCAGTTATTTAAGATGACTTTAAAGCTCTATAGTATGTTTTGTAAACTATTGAGATCAGTATTTCAAGATTATGGAAACAGATTGAAAATGCACTGGGATCATACAACACACTAAACAACAGCTTGCTTAATCATGGTTTACAGTATACATTACACTTATCTTGCTTTGCACAATGTGTTAAGCTATACATAGGGCCTGAAACAACCCAATTTGCATCCTCAAGGTCCCTGCAGACCTTGGGCCTGCTTTCCCATCCCTCTGGGTCCCATATTCTCTCCTACTCATCACCAATCAGCTCATATTGGGGAATAACAGGCCATTCTGCCCCTTAGCATCCCTGCAGGTCACATGACATGGTCCTGGACAAGGTGCCATTTTTGGAGAAGCCACATTACAGAACCATGCCTTATAGCCTGTAGGGATGCTGAGGGGTGGAGCAGCCTAGTGTTCTTCCACAACATGGTCTCCAGAGCTCTACAAAAGGTAAGTGGCAACCCACATCCTCCTACCCACACCCCTCGATCTCTCACTTAACTTCTGTAGATCTTCAGAGCTCGCATTAGAGGAGAGCAGGCTGCTTCACCTATGTGAATCTGCTCCAAAAATGGGATCCACTACCTGGGTGGATCCATGCAGCCTAAGGAAGCCGAGGAGTGGAATGACCTGCTCTCAGTGTTAACTCTGGAGCTTTACAGTACAGATGGTAAGTGACTGATCAGTGATGGAGGGTGGAGAGGAGGATGTGCAACTTTGTGGCTTGTGAAGCAGGCCCAAAGGCTGCAGAGAGCTGGTGGGGTGGGAAAGCAGGCCCAAGGTAGGGACCCAGCAATATGGGATGGGGGAGATAGGCGAGGGAGACATTGCTGTAGCTTCTCTGTGGTCGGTCAAAAGGGTGAACCCACCTATATTTTTGTGCAGGTGACAATTGTACATAATTTCAAAACTGGGTTGTAAATAGCTTTTGGGGAGACAGGTAAAACTGAAGTTAAAATAAACTAAGCCTGGGTGATAAGGAACATCTTCATTCTCTTATAAGTGCGAAATTGGGACTAAATCTAGTTCTTGAGGGAATGCACTATTCCTCAGTTTGCAGGTAAATCCAAAAGACCTATCAGATAGCACACCAAAATTATTCTTTGCCTGAAAATGTGCTCTCACACATGAAATTCAGAATCATTCCACACCTAGAAATACACTCAGTGTATTTCTAATTTTATATTTAACTAATTTTGTAATGCAAAAGGTAATACATTTTTTAAATTGCCTCCAATATAATTTGCATTCACCATTCAAATCAGATGGATTGTTTTACAAAGAAATGAATACTGCACCCTCTACTGTCTGTTTCAGTATTTTGACAAGACATTGAAAAATCAAAAATTCAGTTCCTACATTATCTCTTTTTCTAAAGGCAGTTTTAAAATATTATTTGAAGATAGGAGTACATAGAAATATGTTTTATTGCTATATATGAATCTATCTAAAGGAAATTCATAAAATCTTGTTGATTTGTGTCTGATACAGACATCACATATAGTTCAGGCTGACCCCAACTACTCTTCGTTCAACAGTACTTATTTCCAAGCACTGGGAGTGCTTAGGATTTCAGCTTCCTGGATATTTCCATGTTTGGGATCATATTTATTTCTACCACTCTGTCAATATAGTTTCTGCAGCTCTTGTTCCATTATGTGTTAAGGATCCCTTTTCCTAGAAAATGACTCCTTACTAAGATATTATGAAATATGTTTCCTAAGTAATACTGAGGCAATTCTGAATTTTGGTAAACACACTCAGATGAAAGTAACAATATATACGTGCTAAAAAAAATAAGGAACTTTCAATCCAAGTTAGCAAGACAAATTGAAATCAGGCAGGACTATGAAAGAATCTGTTATAAATTGATAGGCTCAGGGAACAGGTGGAGGGAGGGAAGAACAGATAGGACAGGCATTTTGTAAGGGCTTCCCAAATCTTTTATAGATCTTTGGATCAGAAGTTTCCAAAAGGTTTGCTTGAAAGCATACGAAGCCCATACCAAAATAACTAACTATGGCTATCTGAATGAGTCCAATGGTCTGTGCTCCCACTACACAATGAACCATACATTAACAATATGAACTATGTATTACAGTATAATGCCATATCATGAGCCTGTTTGCTATACAGGTAGTACTTGACTTGTAACTGTTCATTTAATGATACTTTGAAGCTGTGACAACCTTGCTAAAAGTGACCTTAGACCCACCCTCAAAGTTGTGAATGCTACATCACCCCGTGGTTATGTGATCACAATATGAGAGCTTAGCAACCAGCTTGCATTTACGATGGTTGCATCATCTTGTGTGCATGTGATCATGATTTGTGACCTTCCCAGCTGGCTTCTGACAAAGTTAATTGGTGAAACCAACTGGCTTAATACCCAAATTTTTCGTTTAACAACAATCACTGTGGTAAAATGATTTTAAAATTGGATTCGGTCATACAATGACTTGCTTTACAACTATATCACTTTATGATAAATTCTGGTCCCAACTGTGATTGTAAATTGAGGACTACCCGTAGTGGTAAAGGTGCTGCTTTAGAAACCAGTAGACTGAATTGTAGGCCTCTCTTAGCTGGATGACTGTGGGCCAGTCACTCTCTCTCAGACCTATCCACCTCACAAGGTGGCTATTGGAGGGAAAATTACAGATAGGGGTATTAGATATGTTCACCACTGAGACAGAGAGATAATGTAGGATAAAAACATAGTAATAATTCAGAAACTAATTATATTTTAGCAGACCACTTTTGGTGAACTCAATCCAAATGTGCCTTATTTGACTTTGACCTAATAGTTGTGCAAATCCAGCCCCTGTGGTTATAGTTTGGCATATTGAATAAATCTAGTCAATTTGGTTACTAACAAAATCATGCTTAAGTGATCATGGGTGAATGTGATATGTTAATAGCCCAAAAAAGCTCAGTGAACTTTGAGGCTAAGTGTGGACCTGAAGCTGTGTTTCCCTAGCTCAATATTATGTAACATTATTTAACAGGGGTTCTTCCCTTTAGAGCTTCTTCCCTTTATGCTCAAGAGAACGGAAGAAGGGAAAGTCCTTTCTGTCTTCTCCATATCACTTTCTCTCCAATAGAAACCAATGAACATGGTAATTGGAATCAAGAAAAGCCTTGATGTGTTTGGCAAACTGCAATTTTCTCTGCAGATTGTTTTAACTGTTTCTGCAGAATGCCTACTATGAAGTTAGGTTAGGTTTTTACATTATTTACTTGGCAATGTACCAGCAAAACCATTCATATAATTTATGAATATCAGTATTCCTTCAAAAAACCCCACACTAAATGAAAATCTTGTAAAAGAGGCAGGTGTATTCTAGGACAGAATTCCTGATGGAGAAAGTGTATTCAATCAGTTAGCAGAAACGACTGAAGAGGCTGTAACGTTCGTTGACTCCGTTTTGTTTCTTTCAGCAGCTGCATTTTGTACCCTTTGGGATGTGGGACCTCACATAGCAGGTCATCCAGAGTCAGTTCATTTATCTGTCCTGAGACTTTTAACTTGGTGACAATTTCTTCAAACTGAATAATGAAGTCTGGATCAAGTTCTAGTTTTTCCCTGGCAGCGATTATCTGTAAGATTACAACAAACAAACCGTGATCAATATAGCACTGTTCTTTTCTATGCCAAATCATGATAAAACTTAGACCAAATGTACAGAAACAAGACCCTAATCCAATTCCTCTTGCCAATTTGTCATGAAGGTGCACTACACCTGTTAAACTCTATGCATCAATGCTTATCTTGTGCAGTTGAAAGCCACAAGCTGGAGAAGTTTTAAACTTGTGGATTGTTAGACATATCCCAAAATATTTGTTAATAGGGACTAATTATGGTAGATGAGAAAAATATTCCTAAGGGTAACCAAGTTCAGCTCTATCAATACGTTAAGACCCTGTTTAAATAAATGGTTATTTCAAGATAATTATTGCCATTTTTTTTTCAGACTGATTTATTTATAAATAACAGTGATCAATGATTCTCACTATTTACAGTATAATTTACTTTGGATTGAAAAATCAGGAACAGGGGCGTGTTCTATTGAACGAGTAATACTTGTAGCTGATGTAAAGCATGTAAAGTATACAGCAGTAAAAATAATCTAGCAAATTTCAGGGAGATGTGGAAGAAACAACTGAGATATCTGCAACAGCATGGGTACATTTATTCCTGGTATGAAATGCTTTTCAATTTATTCCTTTGAGTGGCATTTGGGGTGACATTTCAGTTGCTACAGAAACAGCTCAAGAGAGAAATTAGTAATAGAATTCATAGTATGCAGCCAAAAAGGCTACAAAAGTGTTGGGTGTGCATATATATGCATGAGAATGAGGTCGCTGGATGGAGACACGGAAGCAATAGGCATGAGTTTAAATGGACTCCAGAGGATGGTGGAGGACAGAAAGGCCTGGAGGAACGTTGTCCATGGGGCCACGATGGGTTGGACATGACTTTGCAATTAACAACAACAACAAATATATGCATCAAGATAGCCCCTCCTGCCTGAAAGGGAAAAAATGAGCTATGAAATGAGCTATGAAAAAAGCCTGCTTCTATCAAATAATTTTCACTTACCACATCCTTACAGAAGTTAGGTTTTCTCACAAAATATGTATCGATTTTTGAAGCTTTTTCCAGTGTTTGCACAAGATTCTTTAGATTTCCAAAGGCAGCCAAAAGAAGGATCTTCAATACAAACACAACAAAAGAATAATGCTTTAACCGATTCTGGATTGTGTCAGAAGAAAAACCTTCCAAACAGGCAGGTCAAAAGTCTTTGTACCAGTAGCCCTGATGATATTCAATCAAATGCACTGTTCATAAAAGATGGAGAATTATGGATTCTACAGCTATTGCTGATCGTTGATTGTGGCAAATTCCAGGTATACATTTTTCAATATAAAACTCGCATTATAAAAGTTACAATAAAAGTTGTGATACAGAACCTTTCTGTTTCATTAATTATTCTATTCACAATAATATACAGAACTAAAGGAAAGAACATGCTGGGATTGAAACTTCAGAGCAACCTTCTTCACATTGACAATCTCCTCCCCAGGAGATTCAGCCCAAAATAGTGGTGAATGTTATGCTAAAAAGGGCTGCTTAGGAACATTCTTGCTATTACTGTGGAAATTATCATTGCCCTTCAAGTCCAAGACATTACAACAAACCAATAAAATTGGTATGAATGTGAGGGAGGAATGGGGAACAATATCTGAAGAAAAAATTATTTTATTCCTAAATAAGCATTAGATTTCTGATTGTCCTGTATCTTCTGTCCCTTCCTCCACCTGCCCCTCTTCCTACCACTCCCATATAGATTTTTGTATCTTCAATTTTAAACAAAGATATTTTGACACAGTGGTTATGGCATCAAAACCACTAGAAACAGGGATATTGAGTTCTAGCCTCACCTTGGGCCAGTCACTTTCTCTCAGCCCTATGTAGGAGGCAATGGCAAATGAGTAACCTTGCAAGTAAACAGCAGACTTGTCCACCAGGCTGACTCCAAGAATCAGACATGATTAAATAGATAAAAATGGAATACCAATTGCTCCTGTTTTCAATGGCATATTCTCTCTGAGATTATCTCTGCTTGCCCACTTTTTTTCAACATCTTGTGTGGTATTTATTCCTACATTTGCTGCCATGGAATTTTTTATTAACAAAAGATTTTAAGAAGATTCCTTAGAACCATATCACTGATGTGACTCATAGAAATGTCAGCGCTTTTGAATAATTTAACCATTGATTATTTAAATATAGAGTTGATGAACAGTAAATGAATAACTGCTTATGTTTTTCCAGCATTGCCATAAAGCAAATTGAAACACTTGAAAAATTAAGGACACAAAGAAAACAGTATAAGGCAGAGATATTTTAATTAACGTTGGAATAGATCAGGCTAAATTGCCGTATGCTGTTTAAGACAAGGGATATTCCCTCTCTTAAAAAATACCATCAGAACTTAGAACACACAAATTAATTGTATTTACCTTTAGATTATCATATATTATACTTTCAGTGGGCTGCAACTGTGAAAAATAGTACTGGGCCTTCAAAAAGTCATTCTGTAGAAGGAAAAAAATAATAATTAGTAATGCTTTAAAAATATTGTCTAACATTTTATTTAATGTTAGAGCTAAAGCTAACAATCAGCTCTCACAACCTCTCAATAATAAATAGACCTATCATGTACACATTGTTCTAAATCAGAAGTAGTAGTATTTATTTATTCAGTCAATGACCAGCAAATTTAAAAGAATAACAAAATGAAGCAAATAAATACAGTACATAAAACAAATCACATGATATAACATTCACACCTCTATCACTGTATTAATATATTAACTGCCCAAGTAATGATAAATTTAAAAAGTAATATAAATATCCCAAAGCAACTTATTAAAAATAACTACCTTAAAGTAGTATTAGGGATAAATGTGAAAACTTCTTAAACCAATTATTTCTTTAATTGCTGTCTTATTTTCATTGCAGCAACATAAAATTTCATTACTGGAAATAGTGGGTTTCAAATCCTGGAGAACATAATTCTGATGAAATTTGTATACTCTAGCTAGGAACATTTCTATTAGGGGGTGACATATAAATAGACTTTATGTCCCTATAAAATTTAGAATATACTAATACATGTAAGATGGTTTCAACTTCTTTATCACCATGGACAAATGTGCTCCCGGTATGGGTGTTTTATTTTATCTGTCTTGGAATAGTGTTGATGGAAGAACGTTGACTTTAAAAAATAAGAATCTCAATTTAGAGAAAGTGAGGTTTTGTACGTCACAGGCTGACTCCCATGCACCCTTATATTTATCCATATTCTATCATGTTGGGACAACCTGTTGACTTCCAACCAAGACTGATAGCATTCCCACCTCCCCTGCAATTTAAATGTATTAACCTGCTCTATGCCCTTCTACTCTCCATCCAGTGAGCAATATGTTGAATCTCCTGATGGTGAACTCCCATGTTCTGTCACAGTTAGCCATATTGACTAAAACTGCTGGGAATTGGAATTCAACAATGTCCAAGGGTTGACTTTCACATTCATCACTGTTATATGCTGTTCAGCTCACTCTGAGCCCACCTCAAAACTGGCAATATTTGGGCCCTCTGGCTTTTGGGGATTTTTCATCTTTATTCTAGGATGGGGAAGCATTTCCCCATTCAAGATTGGCATACAATCTGAGGGTTGTCTTAAACTTAAAGAGTAGAAGGAGGTTGTGGCCCAGTAGGGCCTTTCAACAGAAACATTTGGTTCCATCAGTTCCTGGATTAGGACACTGAGGCAATCACTGATGTCTTAATCACCTCACAACTACACTACTGCAGTGCACTCTACAAAGGTCTGCCCTTGAAGTCCATGTGGAAGCTACAGCTGGTTCAGAATGGGCATGCTACAATGTGTCCATGTAACTCCAAAACTCCACAAACTATACTAGTCACTAGTTGGTTTCTGAATGCAATTCAAGATGCTAGTTACTGTCTAAAAAGCCCTTCATGGCATAAAGGCCTAGTTAAAGGGACAGCCTTTCTCTAATTATTTCTATGCATCTGGTGAGAATGAGGAGAGTAGGTGTGCTTTGAGTCCCTTCAATAAAACTATGTCCTCTACTGGGACCTAGGAAGTGTAACTTCTAGTGAGTGCCTGTCTGGGGCAGCATCCCTGCTGTAACCCATATGCCCTCCACCAGGGATGGATTCTACTTACCTTTACTACCGGTTCACAACGGGATTGCATGCACAGATCGCTTCTGATGACATCAGGGTCAGTGGGCGGAGCCTCCCGCCGGTCCAAACTGGGGGCAACTCACCACTGCCCTTCACCCTGCTGATATTCAGAAGGTTGTTGAAAACCTGTCTGTTCTCCAGGCCTATCAGATGTTTTATTTGTTGCAGAGTTTGCTCGCTGGATTCTTACAATTTGTTTCCTTAGGTTTTTTTAAAAAACTGTTAATCCCTTTTTAAGCATAAGGCACAGCACTGAAGTTACTGTACAAACCCACATCCAAGGATACAGAACATCAAACTGAACTGATAGTAGAAATAAATAATCCTGTACCTGTTTCAGACCAAGTGCTACTATAAAATATTGTGTTCTTCTTGAAAGCTCATGTCCATGGAGATGCTTATCTTCAAGTAACGTATTAACAAATTTCCACGATTCTGGGCTGTTCTGCAGGGTGCAAGATTTTTAATATATGTATGATTACAATGCAGAGATGTTAGGACTTTACTGAATTTGAAATGCTTGGGCTGTGAAAATTGTTCAAAATTCTTTTAAAATTTCATGCAAAAACCCCATTCACTAATTATAAAAGCAAAACAAAACTGAAAACAGGCCAATTTATTAATTTATTAATAAGATACTATGGACAGTTTTTTTATATTGGTTAAACACAAACATTTACCAAATGACTGTGATTCATACCTGTTTTGGTATATCCTTTACAAAGATTACTGCGGTATTTTGTATTACTGAAAAGATCAGCTTTTGTGTATCATAGTTTTATGTAACTATTGATAGTTGTGATGTTCTTTACACAATATGTAGCTGTACTATGGTATTCACAGTTCATGTGGCAATTTAAATGGGGACTAAAGACAAATGGAAGAAGGATCATGCTGTCAACGGCTACTTATATTGATGGTTGTGCATTACCTCTCGAATTCCAAGTAGCTATTATAGAGCCACCGTAGATCATAAATATTATCCTCCTTGAGACATCTTTGAGTAAATCTCACTGGCTATATGAGACATTAAATACTGGTTTGCTAAGTCGTAACCTGAGGCAACAAGGCTATTATGATCTTATGTCATAATAGCGAATGCGATAACAATATTAAACACATTTACCTGAAGTTTTAATTTTTAAAAATCATATTTATTTTTATTTATTTGTCAAATGTAGATATTACATATTCTTGATTCATCTAGGACAGGGGTGTCAAACTCAATTTCAGTGAGGGCTGCATCAGGGTTGTGATTGACTTCGAGGGGCCAGAGTGGGCATGGCCAGCTTGATGTCACTCGTGTTAGAGGCGCCTGTGGTGGCCCGAGCACTCTGCCAGAGAAAATGGGCTCCCGAGCTCTGTTTTTGGCTGCAATGGCCTCCTGCAACCCTCTGCCAGTGAAAACGGAGCTTGGGAGGGCCGTATGCAACTGTCCCAAACTCTGTTTTCACTGGAAGAGGTTCTGTGGGTCAGTCCTTTGCTGTTTCCAGGGCACCCCACGGACCAGATCCGGCCCCCGGGCTTTGACACCCGTGATCTAGGATTATATGCAAAATATGCAACTTTCTACTTCAGTAGTTATAAAATTCCACCTGTTTAACTCCAGGGAAATCAACAAGACAGAGAGAGAAAGAATGCAGCCATTCAATGATATTCTTTTTACCATGGGTTTAGTCATAAGAAAAACAAAGGCTAAAAAAAAACCCTAAATCAAACATAGGAAACATAGGCACAAAATCATATTAAACACAATTTAAAATATATATATTACCAGTTTGTAGCATATTGCAAATGCAAGCAAGTAGGTGTCTTGGCTGAATCTGATATTTGCCCTGTCCATTTCTAATAGCACGTTCAGAGCATCTGTGGAATATAATTTTAATTTTAAGCATTACTTCAGTATTTGTAGATAATTGCATATTCCAACTGCTATTTAATAATATTTGTAACTGAAATAAATTATTTATTAAAAAATCACTTGGGGGAATCAATTACGTACCACTAGATTCTTTCAGGATTCCTTGGTGTTCTCGAGCATGGTTGTTTTGTTTAATTACCAAAACTAGGTAACATCACACTATCAGATGTTACCTATTTTCAGTAATGAAACATCTGCAACAAAACAACCAAGCTCAGAGAGCACCAAGGACTCCTCATTTCAACCCTGAGCTACAAATATTCTCCTCTATCAGTATTAGATTTTTTATTTTAACTCAGTATTCCCAGCTCTTTGGGAAAATAGGTTCTTTTGGGACATATGAATGCCTGTCATACACACTAACTCAAAAATTCTGCCATAGTAAGAAGCTGATTTATACAATGCTTGCCATGCTGGGTGGGGCAGTCCAAAAATAACAATTTAGCAGGAGGAAAACTTGTGAAGTTCTTCCTATAGTTATCTTTTCCCCATCTTTCCAGAGAAAAGTACATTTCATGGATTTTTCATGACTTTCCAGTACATTTCCAGAGGAATCATTGGGATATATCTGCTTACCACTTTTACTTTCCAAGAATGCCTATGGAATTCAAATGCATTCTTGCAAGCCAAGATGATACCACAGGTTACTGCAATGCAATTAAAGAATGTATTAAAAATTACATTGGGTGGAGCAGGGACCTGGTAGTGCCAAGGAGTGTGGCTATGAACAATGCAGCCTATATTCTCCATGTTGGGGATTCAATTAGAAAATGTATACCTAAACTCTAAGATTGCAATAGTGGAAACCAGATATCATAATAGTAAAACAATATGCTACGATAGCAAAAAACTTGATGCATCATTCTGCACCTGAATCATGCTAAAAATATTTCCAGAGAATCATTACAAAATCCTCAATAATTAAAAGGTATAATAAAAAATTAAAAACATTAAAAGTGATAGACATCTTGCAAAACCTCTTGGCAACTTGTCTTGAGACTTGGGGTTGTTTTAAAAAAGAATTTTGATTCCGTTTTGGAGGTCTGTGAATATTTGAAGTAAGTGCTGTGGTAATTTCAGTTTTAAATGTCATAAAGCTGAAGTACTATGGAGAATTTCTTGGAATTAAATCTTATTGTCTACGATAACTCTTCCTTTCTATAGACATTTACATTCAATGTCATATGCCAAGGCAAAATTAATGTTGTGGTCTGACAAAATTCAATTTTGTCAAGGTTTAAATTTTTCCATGCTGCCTTCCCCCCAAAATGTAATTTTAAAAAAATATACCAAGTATCATTACATTCACTGAATGAAAACAAACATCTAATGAACACAGACTAAAGAAAGCTACAATTATTTTTAAGAGATGTGATATAGCTCTGTAATATCCAAAAGTAGTCATACAAAATTTATTAGATCAAATTATTCAGTTGCAATTATATTGTATTATGTGATTAATATTATCTTTCCTTTACCTTCATAATGGCCCTTTTCAAATAACATGTCCATTAATATATTGAATGATGTGTAATCTCCAAAGAAGCCATTTAGAGACTGAAAAGAACCAGAGAATATAACTGTATTGGCTGTTTTTGTCTGAATGACCGTTTCCATGGAAATAACTTTATTCATAATACTTGAGAAACACTTGGATAAAAATTCAGGGCTTTAAATTTCAGGATCATCCTCTCAAGTTGCAAACGAGAGATTTCATCACTATCAAAATACATTTATCACTAAAGTGCTTCTGAAAATAAATCATCCAATGGTGATTTGGTTAAGAGGTGATTTATTAGAATACTGTTAGAAAAGTTCTTGGAAATGCAGATCATGGAATGTGTTCCTTTGGATTTTAATCATAGACTAGAAGACACAGTGCTCAAACCTTGGAGTAATCCCCAGTGAAACAAGACTGATTTCTAAATGTTGAAACTTTTGTAACCGGCAAGACCAAGAATGAAAAAGTAACTTGGATTTCAGGAAGGTATCTTTAATGCTAATCTGAGATAAGTACAGAATCTTGAAAACTAAGAATTTCTCAAACTTAGTTATAGTGAATTGATTAATTTTCTTGAAATGCTTCTTCCTGTATCTATCAGCTGGTGGATGAACTCCCAGTTATGAGAAGAATTTCCACTATCCCTCACTCCAAGTATAGCACAGAATAATCTCCAAACTTTTGTCAACTTCATTTGTATAACTTGAGGTTCAAGATTCCAGATATTTCAGGAATTTAAATGGAGCCCAAATGTTCCAGATAAACTGATGGGCCTTAAAAAGCTCCACTGATTTTAAGACAGTTGAATAGGAAAAATAAATTGCCCTATGGTTGAATTTCATGATTAGAATTATAGAAAATAAAAATAATTCAAAGATAGTCCTGAATTTCACCTGGTCTTTGATGAGTTCCAGTGCAACTGCTTCAAGGTCTAGTTCATAACATAACCTCATAAATATGGGTCCAAATTTGAACTCCCCAAAGGCCCTGTTTTTGTTCTCTTCGTGATACCTGAGTAGAAGATAGTTTTTGTTATGATGATGATTTAAGCCTAAAGATCAGACAGACAGGATAGAGTATATTCATATCTCAATATGAATCTTCTACAAGACAGGATCCAAGGTGTTGGGAAATTTTATAGTTACTTGCTTAGAGTTTCCAGAAAACCAATGTCATTCAATACCATTCAACAAAAAAATAGTGACAACAAGAGAAGAGTTTATATAATAGTCTCCGTAAAGTAGCTCTTTTCTATCAAATGAATTTTGTATACTGGTAAAAGATTCTATATGTTTTTTTTTTCCTTTTGCTATGTTGTGGTTTGCATTATTTCCGTAAGAATGAAATGTGAACAATCAATCCCTTATTTTACTAATGTGCAATACTGTTCTGAAAAAGACAAAAATAAATCAAATGTAAAATAATTCAGAATAGTCTCATTATAAAACTTCCTAATTGCAACATGATCAGAAATAGACCAATGATAATACAAATGAATATATACATTAGTGAATGACTCTTACCTGTATATGGTTCTTTTGACTAATTCTATTTCATTTTTGGATTGACATAGATATAGTATATTTATTAATTCAAGTTTGAGGATAAGGGTATTATTTGCTAACTTTTTTTCAACAGTTTTGAAAAACTCATCTGAAATTGAAAAAAAAAGTAAATTGTTTATATTGTATTCAATTGTATTTATAATCAGCTATTAAGATTACACACAATATTGCAGAATTGATAGAATAAAATGAAGCTGACTATTGCTTGGTTTATATCTAGGATGATGTTAACTTCCTAGTTTTTCTGGAACAGTCCCCCTTTGGGGGAAGTATCCTATACATCAGACACATTCCCCAAACCAGGAAAATATTCTGGTTTCCAGACTTTGGCCCAGTTCAGCAGCAACAATAGAACAAATCGCCAGAAGCTCAAATTTGCCAGAATGACAGCATGCTCATCTGAGTCACAGAGGAGGAAATTGCATCTCTGTTCCCTGATCATGACGATGAGGGCTACCAAATCTGGGCTACCAAAAGCCTCTGGATAGCAACATGGACTTTGAGTTTCTACTTCTGCCCGTTCGTTTATCTGGATTTTTGCTGCTTTTGTCAGAATAATAAAGGTGGTGTCTTATTCCACTATTTTGCGCAAATCAATCTCTTCCCTTCCATCCATTGAGTAATTGCTGGCAGTGGTGTATATCAGTATTTCTCTCAGTTTTGGGTTGAACCTGTTGGTAGTCTAGACCAGGAGTCTCCAACCTTGGCAACTTTAAGGCTTGTGGACTTCAACTCCCAGAATTCCTCAGCCAGCTCTGCACAAGCCTTAAAGTTGCCAAGGTTGGAGACCCCTAGTCTAGAATAAATATACAAACCCCAATTAGATAGGCAGGAATAATAATTATATTAAAAGATTATAATAATACTTTAATTTGAATGTTTTAATCTTTTAATTATTTTTTACTTGTTCTATAAAGCCATAAGCTGCCTAGAGTCAACTTTTTTTTTTTTATTGATTTATATGCCGCCCTTCTCCGGAGACTCAGGGCGGCTTACAATGTGCTCAGCAATAGCCTTCATCCTTTTGTATATTTATACAAGGTCAGCTTATTGCCCCCACAACTGGGTCCTCAATTTACCTACCTTAGAAAGGATGGAAGACTGAGTCAACCTTGAGCCTGGTGAGATTCGAACCTGCAGTAATTGCAGGCAGCTGGTCTTAATAACCAGCTTAATAACAGGGTGCCTTAGACCACTGTACTACCAAGGCTCTTGTAGGTGAGATGGGCAGCATCAAAATTTAATAAATAAATATATACTGTTAAATAATTCTTAGACAAGTATAAGAATGTTCTGGATCACAACTCACAAATGATCATTTACTGGTCAGACTGGAGTTGCAATTTCAAAGTATACACTGAGTTAAAATGAAAACTGAAAAAGAGTTTGAAGTTCTTTCAGAGGGTCTCTTGATTTTGATTTCAACATGTGGAATTGCTTGTATAAAAAATTAAGACAGTAAATGAAAGTATCCCAGTTCAGACTTTTGATCTGAAATCTTTCTGGAAATAACTGACTTTTAAAATATATTAGTAGCAACTGCCATCTCAAAAGATTTCTCCAAAGGTACTGTACTGTACTGTATCTGCTGAGCATCAGGACCTGGCCAGTTCCTAAAGCTAATGCCCTATATAGAATAACACCTGGCTACCCACACCTAAAAAGTCCCATTCAGGACAAAACCTGTCACAAGGTGCCTCCTCGTTATCAACTAACAAACTTTTGTGTGAGTATTGAGTCTGGTTGTGATTTCAAAAGAACCCATGATATTCCTTCTGTGATTTGATTGCAGTTGGGACTTATCCATTTGATAGTACATGATCTCATAGATACAAGAGCTATCATGCTTCAGAAATAATTTTAAAAAGTGCTTTGAACCTAGGGTAAATATAATGCTTTTTTGCTACTCATTAAAACATTTATTTCTTTTTTCAGGTTTCCATATAAACCCAAAAAGAGAAATGCTTTAAGAATCCCTTTAGTTCACTGAAATAGCTGCACTGTGTTTTTACAGAAGACAAAGCTGCTTTAATATTTGAGAGAGGTGTTCACACAATATTTGAAGCATATTTTATGAATCACTTTTGAATAGTGCATATCTCTGACACATACCTAATAAAAATTCCCAAAGTTTATTGATATTTGGACACAGTGATGGGCAGTAAATAAATTTAGTAATAAATAAATACAGTTATTCTTAGCAAGAAAATACAGGTAGTCCTCGACATATGACCATAATTGAGCCCAAAATTTCTGTTGCTAAGGAAGACATTTGGTAAGTAAGTTTTGTCCCATTTTATGACTTTTCTTGCCACCATTGTTAAGTGAGTCATTGCAGTTACCGTATTTTTCGGCGTATAAGATACACTTTTCCCCCCTAAAAGGGGGTAAAAATTTAGGTGTGTCTTATATACTGATTGTAGCCCTGCCCACCCACTGACCCCCACCCTTTGGCCTCTGCCTCAAAGCAGTTACCTCCTTGCAAGCAAACAGCAAGAAAAAACAGCTCCTTTCAGCTTCAGCACAGCCTAATTAGGACAAGTTGATTGGATCGGCCTCCCGACTCTCAGCTGATTTGCTCTCAGCTGTTTTGCTCAGGGCTCTGCTGCTTGCTGCAAAGAGGTAAATTGCTGGAGCAGATTTTTTTTTTCCTTGTGCTAATCAAGCTATGCTGAAAACGAAAATGAAAATAAAGCGGGCTGTTTGCTGCAAGGAGGCAAAATTGCTCAGAGACAGAGACAGACGGAGATTTCTTTTTCTTCTTTTCCTCACCAAAAAAGGTAGGTGCATCTTATATTCTGGTGCATCTTATACTCCGAAAAATACGGTAGTTAGTAACATGGTTGTTAAGTGAATCTGGCTTCCCCATTGACTTTGCTTGCCTGAAGGTTGCAAAAGGGGCTTATATGACCCAAGGACATTACAACAGTCATAAATATGAGTCAGTTGCAAAGCATCTGAATTTTAATTGCATGAGCATGAGGATGCCACAATGGTTGTAAGTGTGAAAAAGGGTCATAAGTCACTTTTTTCAGTGCCATTGTACCTTCTAATGGTCACTAAATGAACTGTTGTAAGTGGAGGATTACCTGTACAGCATTGCACTGCATATAAATATTATTTGGGGAAGGGGGTATTTAGAAGCTTAAAGAGACAGGAGTATCTTAGCTAACATACTGTACGGATAAGCAAAATCATAGCTTGTACATTACAGATTAAAATGATGCTCCTTAATTTTAATTTGCAAATGATTATTTGATGTACATACCTTTTTGTCCATATAGTTTATATTCATTTTCCAATTTCTTTTCTTGAAATTTACGTAACTGCAGAACATCTTCTGTTAACAAGTAACGTTTTGCTGAAATTGGAACAAGAAAATACAGCCATGTTTGATTTATCCTAAAAATAATTAGTTTTAATCTTAACCAAATAACCATTATTTCCAACTAGAAAAATGACACAAGATCTCAGAGACTTTTTCCTTTATGGAATTAATATTAATCTGGTATGTCATTTTATACAAAGTCAGCTTATTGCCCCCACAAACCGGGTCCTCATTTTACCTACCTCGGAAGGATGGAAGGCTGAGTCAACCTTGAGCCTGGTGAGAATTGAACTCGCAGTAATTGCAGGCAGCTGGCAGCTAAATACTACTTTAACAGCAGTTTAGTCCATTGCACCACCAGGATTGATTTGCTTCAATCACAAAAGACGCCTGCACAGGGCAACTTCACCCACGCGTCTTCCAAGAAACGTTTCTTACAATATTTGTATGCCCATCCACCTTAAAATACAACTTTGGGCGGCTCACAATAGTGGTTGTTGTTATTTATGGATTATACATTAGAAATCCCAGAGCTGCAAAGCAACCTTTCCATTTATTCGATCGCTTTTTAAAGAGGGGCCTAGACTTTCCAAACCCCTTTCTTTTCTTAACACCAGTTCCAATGTACCTCCTTGAAAGCAGTTCCAACAGCCAACTCTGTCCGCAACCAGCCTCCCGGCGGCGGGATATTCGGCTGTCTTTCGCAGGAGTCGACCTGAAGTTCCAACTACCAGCGCAGCCATCTTACCGCCGGGACATACGAAGAACCGCTACAGGCAGAGAGGCGCTAACGGACGAGTCCAAGAAGTGTGCCCTTCTTTCCATTAGAACTCTATGGTCACATAAGGCTTTCGCTTAGAGCAGGGGTAGGAAACTATGGCCCTTTTATGACATATGGACTTCAACTCCCAGAATTCCTGAAACCAGCTATGCTGGCTCAGGAATTCTGGGAGTTGTAGTCCACATGTCATAAAAGGGCCATAGTTTCCCTATCTCTGGCTTAGAGCCTTTTAAGCAGCTGGTCTTGGACAGCGGGAGCAAAGGCGTTTCTTCCCCCTTGCTGCTCCTCCCATCTGGATCTTAGATGTGGTACGCGCCAAAATGGCAGCGTTCATGTTTCAGCGTGGGTTACTGCAGAGCTGGACTACGATGAAAAATTGGGCGGCGACAGGTGGGTCGCTTCAGATGGGAGGAAGATGGGACGCTTCCTCAGAGAATCCGTCCGTTCCTTAGTTCTGGAGGGTTTTTTTCAGTTGAGGATTTTACTGGGTTTTTTTGGATCAGTGATTTGATAGCCAGTGATGATTTTTATAGACCATTTATTTAGGCTGACTCTTGGTTCAGGAGTGCTGATTCCTACTAAGAGTCTTTGCATAGAATGAAGCTGCGGGTCGGGATGCGCCCTTCTCTTTAATCACGACGTGGAATTGATGAGGCTAAGTCCACGGCCAGCTTAGCCTTTTGCTTTGCTTATGTGTTGTTGTCTAGCCTTATTTCTTTTTTTAAAAAAAGTTCTTTATTTTGAAAACATTAAAAACAAGACACAAACACACAACATTTGTATACATATCACTTTTCCCTACAGCTACTTCGAAGTGATCCTTTCTTACTATTTACATCTATTCACATATATTTTAACTTTATCTTATTCAACAATTTATTTTCCATCATTCTTTCTTTGTCTAGATTGTACTTTGATCTTCAACATTTTTTCTCCCCTCTCCCCTTTATTCCTCTTTCTCATTTTTCCTATTCTCTAACCATTCATACTACCTACACCACACTTTGTAATATTCTGTATCCTCTTTCTCCTTGATTTCTTTTGTTAATTTGTCCATCTCTGCGCACTCTTAAGATTTTCCTAATTAAATCTTCTGATGGTAAGTTTTTCTTCTTCCAATTTTGCGCATAGACTATGCGGGCTGCTGTCAGTATATGTAATATTAAATAATATATTTCCTTAGTATAGTTTTCTATACTTAGTATAGTTTTCTATGGAAATCCCTAGAAGAAACTGCTCAGGTTCTCCCTTTATTGAATTCTGAATTATTTTCTCTATCCACTTTTTAACTTTCGCCCAGAATTTCTTCGCCAGTGGGCCTTATTTCAACAGAAAATATGTAACTCCCCATCCAAGTCAAATGTCTGTCAGATGACCCATGTCATGCTAATTCATCATTTGTTTAAATCACAGTTTGTTGAATATGCTATTATTGTTGAATAAATATTGCTTTAAGATATGATTTAGAAGCCACAATGCTGGATTCACATATTAAGTTAAACTAGTGTGATTTTTAAAGTAGCTTTTAAGTGTGAAAGAAATATATTTTCTTTTAGGATATAAATATCAAACAAAGTGTTTCAGTCAATGATCTTTATTGTTGAATGCTAAAATGTAAAACAAGACTGCCAGAAAGTAAATGAGGTTTAAAATTGACTTTTGTGTCTTTTAATAAACCTTTTGGGACAAAAAGCAGTTTATACTATTCCTCCACTGATTTGAATAGTCATGGATGTAGTGAAATTTCTGAAAAATGTTTCTTGAGCCAATTACATAAAATACTTTATTTTTAAATTGAAGTGGCTTCCTTTAAGCCTATCAATATAATATGCAGAATATTGACCTATTTCATGTACACTGAAGAAATATAGTGTAATTCTTCAGAAATGTTCAGAAACTAGTTTTACTTTTTTCATAGAGAGAATATGATCTGGGGAGATTTTCACCAATTTGGGTAAAACATTGATTGCAAGCAGCTCAGTGGGCTGAATAGTTTTTAGTGCTCTCACAATAAAAGAGTTAGGATCATGCAGAGCATTTATCTATTTCCCTCATTATCCTCTACACCATAGGTAGAAACCTTTGGGGCAGGTGGCCACATTTGAAAGATTGAGAGTGTGGTATAAATTATCACACGAAACAGCTGTTAATAATCTGGCCAATTCAGGAAAAAAAACACTCCACCAAAACAACCCAATAATTTATAAAGTAGACTCTGCTCCCTCTTTATTGTTGTAATCCATCATTTTAGTAATTCATCTTTTTTGTTTTCTAACAATTTGTATGCATGCCATTTATGGGGCCCAAAGGTTTTCTGGGAAATAATGCTGTTGCTGCAAGGTGGTGCCTTGCTTTACAGCCTGTTAGCTTTCATCAGTATTGTTAATACCTGAACAAAAGTCAGATGGGTAGGAGCTAGGTATACACATAGTCTTTGGCTGGCGACCACAACTGAGCCCAAAATTTCTGTTGCTAAGTGAGACATTTGTTAAGTGAGTTTTGCCCTATTCTATGACCTTTCTTATTAGCAACCTTTCTGTTGCTAAGTGAATCACTGCAGTTGTTAAGTTAGTTACACAGTTGTTAAATGAATCTGATTTCCCATTGACTTTGCTTGCCAGAAGGTCACAAAAGGTGATCACCTGATCCCAGGACACTACAGCTGTCAAAAATAGGAGTTGCCAAGCACCTGAATTTTGATCTCGTGCAGAAGTAATAAGTGTGAATAATGGTCATAAGTCACTTTTTTCAGTGTCATTGTAACTTCGAACGGTCATTGAACAAATTGTGTACCTGTACATCAAAAGGGGGTAGTGCCCATTTCTGGTCTGCAGGTTTTAGACAGGGCTCCTGTGTATGACAATGTCAGTGATGCAATTCTGCCCTGTTTAAAAATAAATCCTGTATTATTGCACAGAACAAAGGCACAGTTTTTTCACATTGTATAGAAAAGATAGTCTGGACATTGACAAACATTTTTGTTTCTCTTTTTTCTTAGACATACTTCTCAATATTGTATATGGATATTTTCCCAGCTATTACATTATATTACATTACGTTACATTACATAACATAATATTATACACTATTTTTACTTGATTAGGAACCTTTTTGTCTGGATCACCTGTTCTATCCTTCCCCCCACATTTTTTGAGATTGAGTTTATTTGGGATCTGACCCAGTTGAGTGTTTATTCTATACGTACCTTACTATTACAGCCAGCTGGATGGTATGTTGACTTTTTTTTCTTTCAAGTTTGTGCTGGTAAAAGGTAACCCCCTCACATACATGTGCACTACATTCCCTACCAAATGTATGAGATGCAGCCCCATACATGTGAATTACTTAAAGTTCCCTTGTAAATACAAGTAGTCCTCAATTTATAACCATTTGTTTAGTGACCATTCAAAGTTACAATGGCACTGAAAAAGTGACTTATGTAAAATGATTTTTTACATTTACATTTTACATTTACAACTGTTGCAGCATTCCCACAGTCACGCGACCAAATTCAAACCCTTGGCAACTTACATGTATTACACTGTCCTGGGATCATGTGATTACCATTTGTAATCTTTCCAGCCAGATTCATTCAACAACACAAGAGTCACTTAACTGCAGCGATTCACTTAACTGTGGCAAAAAAAGATTGTAAAATGGGGCATAACTCTACAATTATCTTGCTTAGCGATGGAAATTTCGGGCATAGTTGTCATAAGTTGAGGACCACCTGTAACCATTCACAGCATGCTGAATTGACCCTGAGTGGCAACAAAGAGAGAAATCAATCAGATATTTTTGTGGCCCAATAAATCTGTTAATATTCACTGACCGTACTGTCAGAGACAGTACCTAGTAGAAAGGAATTCCCATATGCTGTAATTTTTTACTGTGTCTGCCTTTCTTTGTCTTCCCTTTGCAATGTAGTAGGCCGAGATATAGGTTATGGTCCTGCCTTTGTTTAAGGCTGCCCAACAAGCTTTGTTGGGAGCCCAGTGTAAACTGTATTGTTTGCATGCCTAATAAAATTCCGTTGTATTTTCCAATGATTTTGTTGGTTGGTTGAACTAAATTTTGACTGCAAGAAGATCAATTTGTGGGATTTGTAGGGCCTTTTTAGTATCTGATCCCCATTTTATGGAATTTCTTTCTCCGCTCGTATTGGCACTGCACTCTTAACTCCTCCTGTGCTGTGTTCATACTGTTTTCGAAACAGTTGGGAGAAACATAGATTAGGCTATTGCTTTTGGAAACCTTTCATGTACATCACTTGGCAAAGGTTAAAATAAGATTTAGATATGTGTACATAATAAAGAGAGTATTGAGATGGGGGAGAAACTGTTACTTGGTTTTTCAGCATATTAAGTTTTGCCTGCTCAAAAAACCATTGAGAATGTTATTTCAGAACTTCCCATCTCTGCTTTCAGAATCTTTACTGGGCTGCTTCTCAAAACTAGATTTTCACTTTAGGGGTTAGGATCACAGAATTTTTATAATTTTAACATTTATTCTAAAGAAATATTAGGAACATTATTGGAAAGTTAGTTTCTATATAAGGTGTTATTAGATCTCAATGTTTTTACATTTATTAGAACTCTAGAAATAAACTATGCATTTGTGTATATCTTTTTACATTTTATTCCTATTGATGTGGTTGTTCTTATAATTCATATTTTCTATGTTTTTATTCTGTACAATTTGAATAAAAGATGGAAATTGTATGCCATTCAGAGTTGACTTAAAATGCAGTAATTTGTAAGTCTTATAAATAAAAAAGGTTTTGTATCAATATAAGATGTAGGGAATTGCTATTTTGATTAATATTTTTGAACAGATTAGCCTTTCAAGTTTTAATTAACCTTTTTAATGGAAAATGCTATATCGTTATCATTGGACCACCTGAATAAATCATAATATTTATTGGGTAAAATCTATTGAATTTTATAGTAATATAATTTATGGTGAAGTTGTGAGATATTTTAAAGTTATAAATAGAGTTGGCAGAGACTCTATCAGGATTCCAATTTTTATAGAATCTGAATCCCAAAGGAGATAAAAATTAAATGATTCCTAAAATAATAATTGCTACCATAGCAATTATTACCTGGTGCATTTAATGTAATTAATATAATGCATAAAAATAGGTGACTAACGATTTTTCAATGTAAAAATCTTGTAAAGGACTTTCTTTGACCTCTTTTATTAGGTAAAAGATGTATTCTTTCAGCAGCATACGTAGACAGTACAACATGGGAACAAAGAAAAAAGGAAGACCACAGCCTGGGTAAGGAAATGAATGTGTGTGTGTGTGTTTTTTAAATTTGGGCTTACATGAGCTAACATAATGGTGAACTACGATCTAGACTTAAATGTATTAGTGTTCCACATGCTGATTTCTCAAAGCAAGAGTGCCTGCTTCACTTTTTTTAATGTGGGACTAAATACTTGAGAAAGCAATGCTGACAATACAGTATGCGACAAATGTTTATAATATTCATTTCAGTCAGCAATGTTTTAGTTATAATAAAAACCAAAGAGATGTGAACGGCAGAGTTGTACATGTGGGACACAGGAATTCATGGCAGCTTCTTTCCTTTTTCTAGATAATATATATGTTGAATATTCTATATGTTATCATGTCCTTTTGCATCTCTTTTTATCTGTGGTCCGTATCCTTGGCTGTCTCTTTCAGGGTAGAGGAAACATGCAACTTCCTGATAATGGGAAATAGGTTAATTGTTTTTCACATTACCGAGAGGACATTTATAGACAGCAGTATTGTCTCTTCTAGCCAGCAGCAGTTTTCCATCATCCATCATCTCAACAGCTCCAATCTGGAGATGCTGCTGCTTCTGTTTACAGTTCAGTAGTGTAGAGGACTGTAGCTGTGTCATTAGAGGCTAACAAATTCATTGTGGCAGAACTTTCATAAAAAGTATACCAAAATATAACAGTGAAAGCAAAATGGGCTGAAATGTTAGGGGAAAAACAGCCAAATTAGGACATTCAATTGATTGAGGGCAGATAAATTAGCTTGCTAGGTATCCATTTGCAAATCACAAAATCCATTTGTGCAGTATCTTTTACTTGAACGCAAGATGGCACTGTGTCTTTGTGAGTGGTAGCATTTCTCATTCAAGAGAATCACAATTTGTCCAACAATGGCCAGTCAGGATAACTTTATAATTAATGCAGGGACTAGCTCTCTGCAAGGAAAAAAAAAATCATGTGTGAAAATCAAATAAGAAAACTAAGTTATCAAAAAACATAGTATGAAGGAGAAAAATCCAGTGATGAGGAAGCTTTAGATCTGGGGCAGACTAAAGGATAGACTCTTATACAAGATGAAATAATAAAATAAGTAATTATAATAAATAATAATAAACTTGTGAGAGCAGGTTTTTAACTAATCCCTAGGAGAAAGACTGCAGGTCTAGGGGAAAGAATGTAGCATCTTCTTTGCTAGGTTATAGCTATCTCAAAAAAATGCTATAAGAGTTTACCAAAATGCCAGGTTTTTATAGCGCATTTGCCCAGGGTAGGCTATTCTGATGAGCTATGGAGGTGTATCTTATCCAGAGACAAAAGCTATAAATTTCTGATTGTCTTTTTAAAAATGAGCTATTCTATCCTTTTACATTCAAAGTGATCAGCACTGATCAGTTTGTAATCCAGTCAACCTCAACATGATACTTACGGTACATGCTTATTGCATTTTTGTAATGGAAGGGTCCCTAGAGGCAACATTATAAGCAAAGGGTCACATTTGGAAATGGAAGGTGAGAATAAGCAGATTTTCAAAAGCAATATTCTGTAATAAGGTTATATCCTTCCAGCGTGGCTGCTCTACTAGATTTTTCCTTCTTCATACTTCTGAACTGAGATGGGTTGCAGCAGGGCTGTTTCTTCAGTGTGTATATTGAAGACTTTTATGATGTACAGCGGGTTTGTTGAGAGGAGGAGGAGGAGGAGAATGGTGTTTGGGCTTTTCATTGATTAAAAAAGTAGGATGTGCTAAAAAAGAAACATAGTAAAGAAGAACCAAAATGATTTATGAAAACAAATCATATCTGGATTTTTAGCTCACAAAAAGACACTTGGAAACACTTTATACAATTATAGATGATGCTGAGAAACCAAACAGTTATTTTTTTCTCCCTCCTTGCTATTCTCGTTATGAATTCAGAACAAAGAAAAAGGTTATCGTGGCACATAGTTAAAATAAATATAGGCTATAATGATGACTTCCAACATAGCTTTAAAAAGGGATAAGACAGTTTAGTGAAGGGTAAGCCAGTCAGTGGTCATTAGCATACAATGGATCTTGCTGGCTCAAAGATTAGATGCAGCGCATTGTGAATACTGGTTCTGGGGAAACAGCTGAATGAGGAAACTACATTGTCTTTTAAGTCTAAGATCCTGGACTTTGTAATCTTTGCTGGTTCAGACCAAGGACTGCCCTTATAGTCTTAATCTGATGGAGCAGGAAAGCTGCTTTATCTTCCAAGGTTTATATTTAGAAGATTCAGCAAAATTCATTGAGAAGGGATTCAAAATACATTGAATTCATTCATTCTAATGAATTCAAATTACTTTTATGAATATTCTTTGTTTAAGGAGCAAAAGGAAGTGTCTTAAATACTGTAACACTTATGCAGACTTTATCCTACACTTTCATTGAATATTGACATCCTTACAGAAACTACTTGCAAACTGTTTTATGCTGATGCAGTTCCATTAAAAAATGCGCCAACAGCACTGATCTATTTTGAAGAGTATGCCAGCAGCTATTAAATAGTAAGCCTTTATTGACTGGTGCTGCCTGGAGCTAGCTTTGAACCAGCAATTTTTGGGAAGTGAAAAGCTTTATCTCCTGTTACTAGTCCCTTGAGCCACCAATTTGTAAGAGCAGGAATCTTCTATGACAGCTTTAAGGTAAATTTAATCAATAGGCAATTTTAGATTTCATTATTTTAGGAGGTAATAGTTAACTATTGAATGGATGCCATTTAGAGCTGGTTACGATTTTCTTTAGTTGATTCACGAGATTTCCATGTTACATTCCAACATTTAAGAAGGCTAAAATAGGCCATGCCGAGTTTTATACATGAAGAAGTTGAACTATTAAATCGTATTAAGCAGTTTTAAGCAGCAGAATAGTTCCACTGACTTTAAAACTTTTTCTTTTTTAGCCAAATTTCTTTAAAAGAATACAAAATGAAAGGCTGTTTTCTGTATTAATTGGGTTGATGGATAAATTTGATCTTTGTGTATGGCTGATTATCTGATCCTTCATCTCTTGAATTATTATGTTAATGGGAACTGACCTGTCTTCAGTTGTCTTTGAATATTACAACACAGTTTCTGGAAGTTTAACTGTATCAGAATACAGATATAATGTCATATATAACAATAGGCGTTTCAAGCGTTTTGTTTTAATCAAATGTTTGAAATTAACAGCTGCCATATTGGCAAGTGGGCTACCGTGAGTTCAAGTTCTGCCTAAGCCATGAAAGCTGGCTGGGTGACTTTGGGCGGTCACTTTCTCTCAGCCCAACCCACCTCCGAGACATAATTTTACTTAGTGACTGCTTTGCTTAACGACCAAGCAAACTGGTGTGGCCCACTGCCATTTGTTTTTTTAAAAAAACACAATAAATTCACTACTGCTAAACGTTGGCACTGCTAGGAAGGATATACTGTGGCCATTGCCCCAACAGATATGCTGCCAGATACCTCCAGGCCTCACCTACATCACCAACTCTAGTGCTGCTCCTGCTGCTGCTCTGCTAGCCATCAAACAGCTAATCGATGCACCAAATATTGCTTTGTGGCCCATGTGAATTTTTAATTTAACTATGTGACCAGTTTTTGGAATGACTGTACTTTGTTTCCATTTTTTTGTTTTTCTATCCAATAATTTTAATGAGTAAAAACTAAAGATGCTTTTTTTCCCCCTGCAGCTGATTTAGCCAATTTGATGGACAGAACCTATGAAAAAAAACTACCGGTCAGCTCTTTAACGTTATCTCGGGTAAGAACATGACATCCAATTCAACAAAAATAACCCAGATAAAATAAACATCTTGGTATTTTAAACTACTGTAGTATTTTAGTTGAATTGCTACATGCATATAATTGCTTTCTACATGTACTATGATAGTTATTTAAGACCTTGGGGAGAATTAGTTACTTTGACTTGTTGTGACTTATTGTCTCATATACTGCAGACATGGCTTTCCTTGGAGAGAGATATATAGACAGAGAGAGAGAGCAAGCTCAATTTCCTCATTCCCTAAAACCTATAAATAGAAATAATGTGGAAAGCACTGCTAATGTAAAAGGGTCACGTGAATCAAAGCAATTCCTAAGTTGCTTTTTTCCTAAAGGATAAATTTGTAGAAAAATAAGTTTTCCTGGGCCACGGGGGACATGTAATTAAGAATATATTTGTGTAGTGTTTAGTATGGTGACAGCATGAACAGCTATGGGTGTGCCAGAATTTGTCCATATAACACTTCTGCTACATAAACTGCGTTGGTTATCAATAGGCTTCTGAGTACAATTCAAGACCCAGTTATCATCCATAGAGCTCTACATGGAATGGGACCATGTTATTTGACTGACTCTCTTGAGATTTTGCTACCTATTTCTCATACTTTTATAATCTGTCTCCTTAGTTCAATTTTTTTTAAATAAAAAGACATAGAATTAATGAATATAGAATCATTCATTATTCCAATTCTAATTAAATTATTTGAATGCCATATTTTATGTAGCCAACATTAGGCGCGAAGAATCAGGATCATACATAAAGTTGCCGTTCAGAAGATTTATTGCTCAAGTTTATATACAAGAATCTAGTCAACAAAAGTTTAATACTAAATTGGTGCCTAATAAGAGTCAATGGAATTGATGAAGGGTCTGTTTTTGGGACTGTTTTTAGACTGTTTTGGGGACCGTAATGACTCTAAGGTGATGACTCTCTTAGTTCCCTGCCCCCAGTTCTGCCTTTTTATTCCTCACAGCTAAAAGTGCCAAGCTACATACCAGAAAGTACCAGCAAAAGTAAAAACAAATGAAGGCGAATATATGTGTCCCAGGATAATGTTGCATGATCCAATCTGGGTCAGTCACCACTCTGCTAGGATTGGCTCTAGCATGAATCCAAAAGCTTGGTAAAAATTAAACTTCTGGTCCCAGTGACCGACCCAGATTAGATCTTGCAAAAGTAAAAACATGCTTTTTCTTTTCAAGTGAAGGCATTTTTATAAGCAGCATAATAAAATCTGGGTATCTTCAGTGGTAGCACATTGATTACTGGTTGCTGAGGACAAAAAACTTCAGAAAACCGCCTGTGAGAGGAAATAGAACAAAATGTTAGAAAACTGGTATTTAAAATAAAATAAAATAAAATATTTTATTGTGCACCAATTTGTTTCATTTAGTCTTTGCCTTTAAATCCTAAATCCCCAATTTCTGGAGGCTCCTGAATTTATTCCTAATAATACTGTCATATTAGTATTATGTTAGTACTGTATATATATAGTAATAATAAGGATAATATTAATAATTATCAACATATATACTTAAAAGGAACATGTTCCTTATTTCAAGACTATTTCCTCATAAAAAGGAAGATTAAACACACAAAAATAATCTTTATTTCGGGTGAAAGTAGTAATTGCAAATCAAGTGAAAGTGCTATAGTGATAATTTTATCTGTATGCCACTTTAAAGCAATTTGTTTTCTATATTGCAGTTATATCTGACCATGCTATGTTCAGCCATATCTGAGTGACTGTTGATGATTTACCTGGAAGGCCATCTCTAAACTATATTTTCCCTTAGTTTATAGATAACATTTCTTCACGTGAGCATGTGGATCAAACTGAATATTATATATACAAGTAAGCCACCGTTTTAGTTTTATAACAAAGTCATGTATTTTCACTGCACACTTCGTTCTCAGCTCTTGCCTTCAATTAGTTAAATCATACATTGCTTAGAATCAACTTCAGATCAGCATTCTGGATATCATTGATGTCTAGGGACCCACAATGCACTCATCAATTGTCTGTTAGGATTTTGCTGTTATAATTTTGATCATGGAGACAATCTTCTCATTGTGGTGATTTCAGAACGAGAGAATGGCAGTGGTGTTCTCTAAAGCAAAGGTCCCAAACCTTTACAGCTTTGTAGAGGAGTGGTGGGGGTGGAGGAGAGGAGATGGTTTCATGCACATGCTGCTTGTGCAAATGCAGCTTTGCACGCTTGCCTGCCTTTTCCATGGCCCAATTCCCAACGGGCCCAGTACCAGCCACAGGCTGGGGGTTAGGATCCTCTGCTCTAAAGCAACACTGAGCCTAGATGGCATTTAAACCAGGGGTCTCCAACCTTGGCAACTTTATAACTTGTGGACTTCAACTCCCAGAATTCCTCAGCCAGTGCATGCTGGCTGAGGAATTCTGGGAGCTGAAGTCCACAAATCGTAAAGTTGCCAAGGTTGGAGACCCCTGGTTTAAACAACCATGACTGTAGAGGAAGCCAACTATTCATGCCCCAGAGTAATGCTGGATCTCAAGGCTTATCATATTGCTAGAGATTTCTCTCACCACTCTCTGGAAAATGCAAAAAAAACCCAACAACTTTGGGCTGCCTACCAAAGTCTGCATATTAACGGTTATATGTACCAGTCTATTTGTCATGTCATATTCCTTCAAGTGTTTGTTCCAACTTTGGGGCAGATTTATTGCTAAGTATATATGTGGCATATTTGTCAAATGCAGAGTAACTGATATTTCAGTTTGATATGACAAAGTTGAGCGTAAATGTGACAAATTTTAAGACAGCCAATGTGACATTTTAAATGTGTTTAAAGTATGGGACCAAATCTTGGGAAACCCAGGTTCAAATATACTCTTATCCATGGATGCTCTTTAGATATTTTTCAGGGCTTATAAACTGCTCCAATCTCAAACAACTCTGACCATCCCTACATTCTTTCTCCCCTTTTCTCTCTCTGTTTTATTTTAGAGATTTTAAAAGTGCAACCAAGAAAAAAGAAATCAAGAAATAAGGGAGCAAAAAAGAAAAGAGATTTATAAAAATGAATAAGAATGTTCAAACATATGTGTTGAACATATATCAATTTGGCAATTTAAAATTATTATGAAAATAAATCAATCAGTAATTAGCAAAATCAGCCAATGAAATAAGAATTATCGTTCAAAATTACAATTAAGAGTTTCCATCTCATCAGGGAAAGCCTAGCTTTATTAGAACAAATCAGGCTAAATCTGACATTTTAAGAGATTCCCAATTTCAGATGTTGTGCAAGTTTATGTGCAGAATTATAGTCTGGAAAGGGTTTTCAGATTACATTTAATTCAGTGTCAGCCTTATTTAGCAATACAATGTATTTTTAAAAATAGATTGATGTCTAGAAGTCTATAGTACTTCTAATGAAATAATTATATGCAATTTTCAATATGAAGCATAAGAATCCAGCAGCTACTATCCTATGCAAAGCCCACTCTGTATACTTGACAGGAATATAAAGCTTTGTAATGCTTAAGTATTGGAAATGTTTGATATTTGTTTAATTATAAATGAAATCATCTTCAAGAATTGTTGAGCTTCATGACATTGTCACCAAGTGTCCAAAAAGGATCCAAAATGGTAATTGTATTTCCGGCAATTTTTGAATATGAATATAAGTAGTCATCAACTTATGTCCATTCTTCAGCTCTTGTTGAAGGTTATTGTGGTGCTGAAAAAGGAACTTGCTACCTGTCCTCAAAGTTTTGGCCATTGCAGCGTCCCCATTGTCAAGTAATCACAATCTGGGCATTTGGGAACCCAGCTCATGATTGTGATTACTGCAGCAAACTGCATCACATAATCACCATTTGCAACTTTTCTTGTTGGTTTCCCACAAGCAAAGTAAAGAGGAAATAAATAGGTCTGACAGCTGCAATTTCCAGTTTGTTCCCCTCTTGTTGCATATAGCATACAGGCAATTCCTTACTTGGGAAGTCTCTGGCTCCTTCCTTTCCTCTAAGTAAAGTTGTCCAACATGAGGAACCAGCTCTATTGTGTGCCTGGAAAGTGAGCTGAATCACAGCCAGCAGCATAAAAGGGTGGGGGAGTCTGTTTATTCAGGCCTGATAAGGGTAATTCCAGCAGACACTTCCTCCACAGGCTTCTCTTTGCCATCCTCTGGTACCTGTCATCTCCCTTCACCTTCTTTCCAGACCCTACATTGACCTTTTCTTCAGAGCAGCCTTTATGCGTAGCAAACACTGAGTCTGCAAGCACTTACAATTAGGAACTTAAAATTACTCCTGAGGAGGCTAGTATTTCCCTTTACCACAAATACTATATTTCTGTATCAACCCCCCTTCTGTTTTTTGCTTTTATTCTTTTCCTCTCTTGCTTGCTGGTTTATTTTTTTTAAAAAAATAATTAAAAACAGCAACAAGAAACCTTGTGATATATTTCCATACTCTTTTTTTTTTTTTTTTTTTTGAGTTCCTGATTTTCCATTCCTAAATATCATGGCTCTTTGCAGACTTGGTTTCTATAAAAGCAAGAGTTTTAACTCTTGGAAAAGATTATGATGGGCAACAGTGACCGGGTAATCAGCTATTCAGCACTAAAGTCCTCAGAGACCACTGCCATTTGCATATCTTCTCAGCATCAGAAACTTTTAATTATTGCTTCGTTATTAGCTAGCTTGCCTATGTAGTAACAGCTGGTAAATGGAGTTGAGAAATTATAGAAAGGTCAGCAGTAGCTGAAAATTACAGATGGCAGCCAACATGGTATGGTAAACAGTTCTGGCAATCTGCCTACAACATGTATTGGGAGATGACTGTGATTTTAATATATGCAGACACCAAAATAATATACAAGTGATCTGTGCATATGCTTTTTTTTTTTTAAAAAAAGTCAATCTTTTCTTATTTCGCGCCCCCCGCCCCCCCTTGTGAGGCCTGCAATGTTATGAGGAAATTTAGGATTTTGTAATTACTCTCTTGCATTCCTGCATGTGAATTGACAGGAGGTATAGGATGGTTCTGATGGCCCCAAAATCATACCAGATTAACGAATGCTGGCTGAGATAGTCCATACAATTTAAAAGTTGCCAATGATGGGAAGCACTACCCTGTTTCCCCCAAAATAAGACATCCCCTGATAATAAGCCCAATCGGGCTTTTGAGTGCATGGCAATACGGCCAAGCGCTTATTTCAGGGTTCAAAAAAATATAAGACAGGGCCTTATTTTTGGGGAAACACGATAGATAAATGAAATGGTTGTGGCAAGACATGGTCTTGTATGAAGGAGTTTACAAGGCAATTCCCAAAGGATATCTTATCCATTGCATGCAATGTTTTGGTACTGTGCCTGCTTAGAAGAGTAATTTATATAATGCATTACTTTTATGAAACTCAGGTTTTTACTTCTACATCTATGACTGTTCAGTAAAAATGATTTGAAGTGTAAGAAAGACAGTTTTTAAAAAGGCTCTTTGTATTGCGGTGCTCATAAATGGGAATGGCGTTGGGGGCTGATGTACTGTATGAGGATTGTGACTTTGATTTTTCATAAGGGATGATGGAATTGAACTGTGGCCTGCTGTTCTTCAACAAAAAGTTGTCAGCTGAAATATGAATCCTAAGCTCCTAGGATTCTTTCCTTATTCTCCTCCTCCCCCCAAAAAACCTGAAAAATGGGAATAGTAATGGAGACTACCTCATTGTCAGATTCTATCGGGCATTCTGCAGGACTGAGTAGCATTTGGAAGGCCAAGGATTGCATTCTGGGACGGGGCCATGCAAAGTCATCTGGTCACTCTGTCATATCACCTGAAAGCATGGTGCTCATGGATATTTTTTGGGGGGGGGGAGGCTTAGAGTGGGAATGGGAACAGGCGGCTTCTAAGAAACAATCCCCATCCTTATCCTTTAGAGCCCCTAACTATTATCTTACCAAATTGATCTGAAGGTTCTGGAAGGGCGTGTACTGGCTATGTGATACTCCCTTCCTGAGCCTAAATTAACCTTGGCTCTTTTAATTTCAAAATATTTATTTGGACCTCAGTGAAGGAAAAGAAAATGCTTGCCACTGTTGCTGCCAAGGCCCATGACTCATGTTCAGGAATTAACTTCATTCAATCAAGCTCCTTTCTAATCTATTCTGTTCTAAAACTGGTATGTTTTTGTCCATCCAGATAACTTTTCACCCTGTAGCATAATGCAAATAATGCAACTTTTTTTCTTCCTCCTTGTGCTCAGAAAGGTATTCTTTTACTCTCTTTTTCATTCACTATTCTGTTTTTATAGGCCGACTTCCTTCTTTCTTTCTTTCTTTCTTTCTTTCTTTCTTTCTTTCTTTCTTTCTTTCTTTCTTTCTTTCTTTCTTTCTTTCTTTCTTTCTTTCTTGAAAGTGGACCACTCTGTGGCGTTTCATCTTAAGCCACAGGAAAAAGTATGTCAGTGGCTTTAATAACCAAAGAAGGCAGATGGAGCTAATTGTACAACAATTTATAGTTAGAGTCACTGCACCTCTTGGGTACAATCTAAGTAGAAAAACATGGCTTAGTACAGTAAGGCTTTTAAAATTAATTACATATTCATGAAATGTGGGCAATGTGACATTAGTACTGAGTTGCAGCACAGCTGGATGGTAGCCATCTTGGGTGCATCATTAATCAGAGAGGCTGATTTAGATAACATATTCATGCTGTGTTTCCAAGAGAGAACTGTTCTTCCCCCCCCATCCCTTGTGCCCCCCTATGTGGGAAATGAAACCTCACAAGCCTGGGTCCATGTGTTCTTAATCTGTGTTTGAAATGTAAAAGAGTATGCCATGAATTGTCAACAATATGTGTTTTTAATACAAGGC